ACCAAAAGACAAAACAAAGACAAATACTATTTCACAGTGTTAAAGAATACACAGTTTAGCAGAATTGGCAGCAACCGAATAAATTTACTAAGCAATCTAAGTGAAATGGCTAATCTAAGTGAAATTACGAGTAAATTTATCATTAAGTTAAATATGGAAAATCTTAAACTTACCTCGTTGCGTAGAGTATGAACCTCATTCTGCAACGATACTATCATCTCACGTAGAGCGGCAACCTCACCACGTAAAGTTGACACCTCCACACGCCATGCACCATCGTTATCGCGTAGAGTACCGATCTCCTCACGCAAGGCATTGACCTCATCACGTAACTCCCTTGACTCATCCCGTGGAGGTGGAGGTGGAGAACAGGGAGATAGGAGTCGTGGCATCTTTGCCGGTCGCCTATCATGAGGTGATGGTGGAGAAGAGGCTCGATGATGTGACGAGATAGGTGATGGCTCTCGTTCTAGAGGTGTATTGTCGGGTCGATCGGGTGATGGCTCTAGGTGAGGTGATGGCTCTCGAATTGGAGGAAGTGGATGCTGCTCATCATCCGTGCCATCAAAAAAACTCTGACTAGCTTGCCACCAATCAGTGGCAAGCTCTTCCTCCGTGGGTGTCAGTCTTTGTAATGGAATGTTGGCCTCCTAAAATATAAAAACTCAAACAAAGTTAAACGTCTACTATTAATAACTTGTTTATATATTATATGAAAGTATTTGTGTTAACTTACATTATTTATTGTCGCATATGGTATTAAGTCTTCCCAATCCAACAGAGTTTTCCTCTTCCAGGAAATAGCCCTGGGAATATCATTTGACGTTTTTATTGCATATGTACGCATGCTGGGGAAAGCCTCGAATATCCAAATCTACAAACAATATAATAACAAAATTAGTAATTGTTAAATAATTAATTATAATTTTAGAAACATTATATAGAAATTCTTACCTTAAAGGCCCAAACAAAGCCTGACAAAGTGTATTTGGACCCATCGCCCCGCAAACTTTTGCGGTCATCAAAGGCAGACGACAACTTAGTCCAGGTAGCTTTCCATATATATGAACCCCACGGAAACAGATTCCATGCATTCAGGTCCTCTACCAATATTATTAGCTCCCGATGAATAGGTTGTCTGGCCTCTCTGCCTAAAAAGCCGGCATACACAAGTAGTAGAAGGCATACTCGGACAACATCGACGTCATCCATCCGAGTGAAACCACTTTCTTATTAAATAATTTCTTCAGGTCGTCGACATGTAGGTTCGGCTTCTCCATTGACTCATCCGGAAAAACCCGGGATAACCATGATGGGCGGGCGATATGACGAGTGTATCGGCCTACATCATCGTGTCCGAATCGTAGACCAGTGATTAAGCAGAACTCCTTCCGCCCAAAACAAGTATACGCTGGTGGAAAATGAAACCATATCTCTTCCTCACCACGTTGTATACTGTCGGGTAGATTTGATGTCATGGTCTGAAGCCATAAATGGGTCAAATTAGCATCTCCACCCGGATGCTGTACTCTCAGCCATGGCCCGAAGCAGGTTTCCTCAAACAATTGTCTTTGAGCAGGTGAAAGCTTCGAAGCAATTGTAGTGGCCAGACTGACTTTATTTCTCAAGGTCAATTGAGCCGAAAAAAATTTCTACAAAAACAATAAACATACCAAGTTAGATATACCAAAAACTACACTGTGAAGATATACCAAAAACAATAAACATAAAAAGTAGTAGTTTATTCTTGAAACTAAAATTTGCAACACTGTTTTGTCTTTGGGTTGAAATGAAAATCGCAACGAGAGAATCGCAACGCGAAATGACAATCGCAACGAGAGAATCGCAACGCGAAATGAAAATCGCAACGAGAGAATCGCAACGCGAAATGAAAATCGCAATGCGATTTTGGTTTCGCGTTGCGATTTTCATTTCTCTCGTTGCGACAGTCATTCTCTCGTTACGATTTTCATTTATCTCGTTGCGACTCTTCTGCAAATTGAAACTTGAATGGATTGCATTACTTCAACCAAAAGACAGAACAAAGACAAAGACAAATACTAACTTGAAAATCGCAACGACAGAATCGTAACGCGAAATGAAATCTAAGTGAAATGGTTAATCTATTATTGAAATGACCAGTAAACTTATCATCAGTTTCAATATGAAAAACCTACAATAATGCAAACATTTCAAAATAAAAATAATTAAAAAAACTAACCCTCGGAGGTTGATTTTCCATTTCTGAATATTGTGAGGGATTTCTGACCGTGAATGGTTGTGAGGGATTTCGCCGGAGATGGGGACGGAAATCTTCGGAGATGGGGACGGATTTCTTCGCCGTAGAGAGTGAGAGATGGAGATGGGACTGAGTTGTGATTTTAGGTTTTAGGTTATGAGTTGCGATTACGGGATTTTGTCTTAATATTCGTTTTTGTAATTTGAAAATAAAATACGCGTAGCGATTATAATGGCGCTTTAAATATCGCGTTGCGATTTACGGATACGCGTTGCGATTTTATGTATTATCGTTGCGATTTACGGATACGCGTTGCGATATACGGATACGCATTGCGATTTACCCATACGCGTTGCGATTTACGGATACACGTTGCGATTTACGGATACGCGTTGCGATTTATGTGTTCGCGTTGCGATTTTAATATTCGCGTTGCGATTTTGGAAAATCGCAATGCGAATTTGTACTATCGCATTGCGATTTTCAAGAATCGCGTTGCGATTTTGGAAACTGATTTGCGATTCTGGGGATCGCGTTGCGATTTTTATTTCGCGTTGCGATTTTATTGGTCATTTTGGCAAATCCAAAAAAAGTTGGTTAAAATCGTATATTATAACTTTTTTTTGGTCACTGAGGCGATTTTCTCTAATATTATCAACATATTAGGTAGCGCAAAAAATGTTACTAAAGTTTAAGCTGATTGACCTTAGAAATCACAATATAACAAAATAAGTTAATTACTTATTTTGTTATAAATATTATCAACATATTCGATTGCGCCTAATATGTTACCAGAGTTTAAGCTAATAGGGTCTTCGAAATCCAACAACAACAAAATATGTTAAATATTTATTTTGTTATAAATAAATATTAACATACTAGGTTGTGCCCAATAATATTATTGTGAATAAATAAGTAGGTTACGATCTAAAATATTAAAGTTGTGTTTAATGAAATCGGTAATGATTTAATATATTACGTATCTTTGTATGGAAATTATTTTTAAAATAAATATTGATAATACTGTGGTCTGATGGTCGATACTTTAACAAATATTGATATTGTTTTCTATGATGTTTAATATTTTATCATTTTAGAAACTTGTTAATCTAAAAAAAATTGAAATGTTAAGATTGAAAGTTACTTATTTACAAAATTCCATTAAAATATATTTGTAAAAATATTGATACTTAGTGTAGATGTATCGAAACTCTTATACTTCTTATTGATACTTAGTGTAGATGTATATAAATTATTAATACTGATACTTAGTGTATATGTATTAATACATATTCAGAAAAATTATTAATAGTTGATATCGATACTTTAGATTTTTAAATTTTGTAATCATTGTTATCGAGATTTTAGCATTTGAAAAAGTTGATGAATGTTAAATTATCGATAATTGATATCTGATGTATTGATATTTTTGAAAAAGTTGATGAATCCCCCACATCAACCTACAAGTATCGATACTTTCAAATTTAAAAAAAAATATTTCAAACGATTAAGTTGTAAATATTTTACCGTTTACATTAATATTATACTTTTAAACAAATCGATAGGTAGTTTAATGTAATATGTAAAGCCTATTTTATTTTAACCAATTAAGTTGTAAATATTTTACCGTTTTATATTAATATTATACCTTTAAACAAACCAGTAGCTAGTTTAACTTAATAGATAGTGCCTATTTTATTTTAACTAATTAAGTTGTAAATATTTTACCGTTTATATTAATATTATACCTTTAAACAAACTGGTAGCTAGTTTAGCATAATATGTAGCGTCTATTTTATTTAACCAGTTACATTATTATTATACATTTAAACAAACTAGTAGATAGTTTAACGTAATATGTTGCGCTTATTTTATTTTAATCGGTTAAAGTTGTAAATATTTTATCGCTTACATTATTATTATACATTTAAACAAACCGGTAGCTAATTTAACGTAATAGGTTGCGTCTATTTTATTTTAACCCGTTAAGTTTTAATTATTATTACACTATCGATATTTTTACAACGATATTTTAATGAAAAATTTTAAATAAGTAACTTTCGATCTTAACTTGAACATTTTTTTCAAAGAAACATGTATCGATATTTTAATTACCATCAATTTTCTCAAATGTTAAAGTATCGAACATAATAGAAAAAGTATAAATATTTTACCATTAATCAAATGTTAAAGTATCGACCATCAGATCGTAGTATCGATATTTATTTTAAAAAAAGTTTGATACTTTGCAGCCTTCTCGTTTTCTATTTTTTTAATTCAAAAATATTGATATTTATGAAAAAATATTGAAACTTTTCAGTCTTCTCATTTTCCATATTTTTTTAAATTTGAAAGTATTGATATTTATGAAAAAATATTAATACTTTGCAATATTCACATTTTTCATTTTTTTAAATTCGAAATTATCTATATTTATAAAAAATATTAATATTAACCGATCAAATTACGCCATTATAATTAATATATTAGATATAAATCAACATTTTTAGTCGTACTAAATCGATTTTGTTAAGGGTTTTTTTTTCTTTCAAATTTTCGGTTATGTTATTTTTTAGCCTCATATTAACATGTTTCCTTGTACAATCCCCCAACCATTCCTATTTTTCACCAGTTTTTCCTTTTTTCTTTTTTTAATTATTATCAACGGCTCAGATCATCTGTTTTACTCTCGTATCTTATTTAACGGCTCCTATTCATTTGCCTTAAGTTGCTTTTCTTGGAATTCTCCCCTTATAATAGATCCGCAGATCTTAAAAATTCCTTTAAAGTTTATCTATTCCAAAGACCAAAGCAAAACCAGAAAGGGGGGAGTGGAGATATGGACGCAATTGATTCAGTTTTCGATCCGCTAAGAGAGTTCGCTAAGGATAGCGTTCGTCTTGTCAAGAAATGCCACAAGCCTGATCAAAAAGGTTACTCCTATCTCCTTTCTAATTTTAGGTTTTGTTTGATCGATCTGAATTGTGATTGCATGATTTTTTTCTTTGTTTTGTTTCAGAGTTTACGAAGGTGGCGTTTCGTACAGCGATCGGATTCGTGGTTATGGGATTTGTAGGGTTTTTCGTTAAGCTCATCTTTATCCCCATTAACAATATTATTGTTGGATCTGGTTAGGTGCGGTTCGATTCCTTCCATTTCTATTTTGTTTTTCATGTTACTTTGTTGGTTTATTGTATCATTATATGTTATTGCTTTCGTATTGATCTTAATTTATTCGAATTAAAATGAATAAAGCACGGAAAATAAAAAATCTCGGAATTTTTGAAAAATTGATTGTTGATTACTCTAGGCAAATGGAATTTGCCTGAATATTATAGGTTTTTTTTACTGTTTGCGAGATCTGGAAAATTGAATTAGTTTTCTTAACCGGATGTATTATTTTATTTATGAATCCATGTTTGCATCTCAGTGCGCTTGATCTTTTCTTTATATGGTCATTTTATTCTACCTTGGAGATATTGTGAACTCAACGTATCAATGCAATTGTTTTTTTAATTCGCAGCTTTCAGCAAAAATGGCTGTAAAGAACCAATTTTGCAATTACTAACGAGCAATTGATTCAAACTTTCATTTTAGACAAGATAATGAAAAAGGCTGAAAAGAGTAGAAGATAAGCTGCCTCTTGTATGTTTGTTGGACTTCGGTATGTGTCGGATAGGATGTGTCTCACACGAGCATGTTCAATATTTTTTTTCTCTATTTTTCATGTATTTGGAGGATATTATGTTTATTGGGGTCTTATCCCTATGATCGTGTCAAAATACATTGGACATGGGTGTTGTCGTGACTAGGTAATTTTAGAAAAATGAAGAGTTGGAGCAACATAGATGGACTGCGTGGGGTTAGGTATGGAGTATGTTGGATGGAGTTGTTTTTGACTCTTATAGCTGAATGGAATCTTCCTCAAGATAAACCAAATAATGGTAGCTTAACAAACTGATACACAGACATTAATTTGTCTACTTCGAATGCAACTAATACGATGGACAAGCATCTCCATTTATGAATTTTTTTTATATTGGTTTAAGATTTTGCCATGCTTCATCTGTACTCGTCATGTTTGATAATCCATATGGATCTTATTACTGGCTTGCAGGAAGCGAGGCAATCAGTGTGTATTTTCAGCATGAAGGCTAAAAAGATAGAATAACTGGATGGCTATATCTGAATTCATTAAAGCAATTCAAATTCAGACATGGGGGTTTTCTAGTTTTCTTTATATTCACTTTTGTTGGAAATTTTGTTTTAGTTGTTGAAATAAACACAACCATTATGACTTTTGGTCCAATGAGTCGTATACTTCATGCTAAACCTTCCTTTTGAAGGATGAATTTCAATTGAATATGTCAATTTTTTATTAGCATTGGCCTCTGGACTGCATTTCTTCGTGCATGGTACACTTAAATTATAAGGCATGGAATCGTTGTATAGTACTCCGTTGTTGAGGAACAAGTGAAATGCATATGTCGAGGTGCAACAGTATCCCGACGAAACTGAGATCAGTTGGCAAAGAAAGAAATGCAAGATACTAAACTGAAACTATACAAATTGGGATGCATTTTCAAAAACAAGGTCAAAGATCTAATAGTAACACAAGCAACTTGGGAATGTTTTCCTACTTAAGGCTGGAAATTTAGGTACTGCAATTTTCACTTATTTAGAAACAGAAATCATTGCATGAACCAAACAATTTCAGTGATTTCTAAACTAAAATAGAAGATGCAAAAGAACCAGATGCAAGCGTGTCCAGATAACCTATAAAAACTTCAGGCAACAAGACACCTACAATCCGCACTAATATGCTTGAAAACAAGTCAAGTATGTACCATCCTATAATATTGAGGGCTGAAACCTTAGGACCCTAATGTTAATTGACTTACCATTTCTAGTTCTTACCTTGTTTGATATTGACAAATTGTTGACACAAATCTACACACATATATAGAGAGAGAGGGATCCCTAAAGCTATAACCAGGTTATTGAATGTAGAAGTCATATTGTTTTGCTGATTTAGATGGCGTCAACAGAGTTTTTTTTTCTGCTCTAATTTTTTTGTGAGGAGTAATCAATCCCCGATTGTGTGATTGAGGTTGTACAATTCTTTTGGTGCTGAAAGAAAACAAGTTTCACACTAATTTTCGTGCTTAATGTGAAATTCAATGTTAGATATTATGGTCCTTGGTCTCTAGTGTTTCGTACCTACATTGGTTCTTCAGTTTTGTATGGTCTGTGACATCTTAAATTGTGGTTAAATTTTTTATCTTTAAGTGGGGTTAAGTTAGTCTTTGTGAATTATCGGTGCTTGGTTGTAAATTTCTAAAAAGTGTGAGGACTCGCTGCATAATTAACCCAAGTGATAGAAATCAACAATAGATCGATGGATAAATACAAGTGCAAAATAGTTATTTTAAAACTTACTAAATCCACCGTCAACCAGATTTTTTTTTAGTGCGATGAGATATTAAATTTTCAAATAAAATTAGAGATTTGAATATTAACATTTACATATGAAGTAAACTGAGAAGATAACCCTTATAATAGACCTTTATACAACTCGATTTGGATTAATTAGTCTATAGATTGGATATCAATAATTAATTAAAAAAACTTACTAAACCCATAATGAATTTATTAGGTTACAACTATAAATTCTAACTTTTTGTAACAAACGCATAAAAAAAACTCTTAAGTTAGAGCTAGCATGAGAATATATAACAAGATAACAGAAAAGTTTTTAGCTCAACTGTAACTTGGAGAAAAATAATAGTTTCATGCAAAATAATAATAATAATAAAATACTTTTTTCATTTTACTTTTCTTATTAACAAGGAAAAAGTTTTTTTTTGTCATTCATATTCCAAGAATTCACATTGACTAATTCGAACCGACCCGTATCACACACCTAATTTTAGTAGATAAATCAATAAAAAAGTTATTAATAACTAAAATAACGTATAATTCTCGATGATTCTCAAATGTCTCAACTCAAAGATATGAAGACCGTCTGAATACCCCCACAGACATGTAGACTTGGCATAGGGGAGCATCGCAAGGCATCCCTCAGCTTATCGTGAGATGCCCGTTATAGGAATAACAACCATTATAGTGGTCAAAGTGTTATTTGAAAATGTTATTTCACGACTGTGATATTAACAATAAACGTAATGCAATAAAAAATGAGATTGTAAGGGTAATTTAAATCCCGGGTAAAAACAATAGATCCTGGTTCAAGCATACAAAATTCGTCAAAAAAAAAATCAAAATTGTAATTTCTGTCCATAATTTGCCTTACAGTCTAAGCTTTGGTTTACACTCTCTCCAACCTCTAACTAAAGCTCAGACACTATCATTATAAACACCAAGTGATCTCTTAAAGTCGTTGACAACTTCTACTTATGTCTTAAAACTTTGAAATGCCTCGTGTTCTTAGTACACAATGATTAAAAAATCAAAATTGTAATTTCTGTCCATAATTAACATCATTTATATAAAATCAAAATCATTTTGTTAATTCAAAATTTTGATGAGGAAATATTAACGTATTCGGAACTAATAAAAGCAATAAAACTATTTTTTTATATTTAAAAATTGTTGTTTTTAAAAATATATTTAAAATATTTTAATTTATGAACAATTTGTTAGATGTTTTACTTACAATTAATTAATGATACGAAAATATATGACATAGTGTATTTATACTTTTTATAATCTATAATATTAAATACAAATATTTTTATGAAAGTTCTCATTATTTATTTATTACTCATAAATTGTGATCTTAATCTCTAAAAATTTTAGTCATGACTACAATGGTGCAAGCTCAAATTGACTAGATTACAAGAAGAAGAAAAATGATCGATTTGAAAATTTTAAACTAAATATTAAATTACGCATAGCAAACATACTAAAGGGACTTGTTATTCTCCCTGGTGATCATGAGCTCGAGCACCGACAGAAGTATAAGCATTCATTGCCAATTGATTTGGAGCTTTTTTAACATGTATTGCCTTGTATTTACTTTAAACTTATAAAAGAAAAAACTAACATATTTAATGGTTATTAATTATACTATTAAATATTAACAGTACATATAGTCATATATTATTTGTACTGTTTAATTTGAATTTAAATATGTACATGGTCTACATACTATGTCAGAGGTTTTGATTCCTTGTTATTTGCTTTGGGTTTGGTTACACTTGGAGTTTACTATTAGAGTTTTTGATTGATGCAAAATAGTTATTTTAAAACTTAGTAAATCCATGATCGATTTATTAGGCCGTGGCTATAAATTCTAACTTGTAACAAATGCAGAAGACTAAGCTAAAGCTAGCATGAACAAGGTAAAAGATATTAATAACTAAGATAACACATTATTCTCCCAATGTCTCAAACTCAAAGGTCTGAAGGCAAGGCATCCCTCAGCTTATCGTGGCGGTGGTGGCAATCGAGATTTAGCAAACCCGACCCATACGATGATGCCAATAGCAAGGATTATCCAACCAAATATGTCATATCTGAGATCATTGTTTTTCTTACCCTTTTTACCGGGCTGCAAGAAAGTAAAGACGATTCAAGCACACAAAAGTCATTAAAAACTGTATGCAAATGAAACAATCTTAACATATCCGAGACTGAGCAATCGTCCAGGATCACCCAAAAAGGAGGAAAAAGGAAAAAATGTAGTTCATGGGAGATTGAGAAACCCAGCAGCTCAAATCAGTATCCCACATTTGAGAACTACATTGATCCTTTCTATTCTCATTTGATTCATGTTTACAATATCATGTCAATTCCTCCCTCACGATATATGTGATCTTTTGCATGCTTTTATTCAACAAAGCGACTCAGATGCGCAAAAGCATCCTATCTACATTATAAATTACACTTGTGCATGTTATGCATGGAAGTGTAAATGAATGTCCCCTCAATTAACCACGGTACATCAGCAACACATCAAACATTTTTTATGTTGTTTCCCTGAAGCTATGAACAATTTTAAATGTGGATCAACAGAAAACAACAAGAAAAGAAAAAACTAATGGACTTCTATCCTTGACAATTCCAAATGCCAATGTAGATAGTGCAGAAATCGGGATCAATTAAACAGCACATAACAATACAAGCCACACAGAGATAACAGGGTAAGAAGTCTAACTGCAGATAGGATGAAGAGAAACATGAAATGAAGAAATTACGAGTATTACATTTTCTGAACTGGATGCAGGAGCATGAGGAGATCCAACCCCAACCATTTGTTGATCTAAACCATGCTTAAGAATTTCGCGGAGTAATTCTGGAGCCTGAGGGGGAAAAAAAAGCTATAGATCACATATCACGAACGAAGTATCTCAGTTTGAACTTGGCATTTCTCTCTAGACTCTTCCATTATTTAAGGGTGAAATCTTTAACCGATTGACTTTCTCTTCTCTTCCATGTTTGTATGCCCTCGGAATGCTTCTGCTACCATAAATCATTAACTTTGTTCATTCCGAAATTTAGCAGTTTGTACGAGATGAAAAACAAAATCTAGACTGTCATTATTCTACAATAAAACAAGAACACCGAGCTTCATTCATATGAACCTCAATTTCACAGCATTGCGGAGGAAAACACCAGCAGCAATTACTACATGAGACCTCTACACTATATTACTTTGACTTTTTGGCTTTGCTTGGTACGAAGGATGGAAAATTTGTTAATCAAATGGTCAAGATTCATTGGAAGGTAAAATCCCCATATCCATGTCCAAAAATGTCAGTCACAGGTGTTTAAATAAATAAATAAAAACATTCGAAGCAATATAACCTCTACTAACCTCAACATGCAAGTTAATAACAGCTGAAAAAACAAGAACGATAGACACAAACAACGAGAATCCCACACTTGAATATCAAAAACTACAATACAGAAAATATAGAATCAAAAACCTCTCATCAAAATCAAACAAGGTCCATCATACACTTTCACAACTAAAAATAATATGCTGTGGTAAGCTGTTAAAAGTTATAAATCACATGGAAGATTAGCATTACCTAAGAATAAACCAATATAATGATAACCAGATCAAAGTACCTTAGAAGATATTTCGAGTGATTTGAGGTAAACTTCATTAGTGGGATCCTACAAATACACAATATACTTTCTATGTCAAACAAAGCACGTCAAGCAATAACCAGCACGTAGAGTTAGACGCATCCAAGCCGATTTTCCGAAAAATTAAATTAAATTACCTCATCAACTGCTTGCTGGAAATATGTAGCAGCCTTATCGAAATGAGGCCCGGCTTCATCTTCCTTATTAGTCAGAAATGCTAAAGAAGTCTCAGCATTTCCCAAACACCATAAAGCTTCATGCTTTTGAGGGTTAATGGACAATGCTTGCTCTAACTTCGCAATAGCATCTAATTTAAAAAATAATAAACAATGTATAAAACCTAAATTCAATTTTCAATGGCAAGAAAACTATTGTCAATTGGAATAAGGTTTCAATTAATTTAAAAACAAAGTATATACACGAGAACCTTTGATCATTTTCAGGGAAACTTGAGGACTTTGACACTGAGACAACTCCAGTAAAGCTCCGGCCCATCTGGTCAAGTTCTGCCAAAAAAAGAAGAAAAAAACTAGCCAAAAACACATTTTAATTGGAAAAAAAGGAGAAAAGCAGATCCAAGGAAGGAGGGAACCGAACATCGGCGTCGTTAGGATCTGAAGCGTAATTGGCTTCGGAAATTTTACGAGCTTGCTCAAAAAAGAGCAGCCGATCAAGTTCGTGTTCGTCCGATACTTCCATGGCTGCTCCTTTGAGCCTTCTTTTTCAGGATCTATCTTCTTTTTTCTATAGGATTCCGTTACGGAGCAACAAAAATTAAGAAGCGCAAAATGAACCCTTTTGCGTTTTGAAATAAGCCTAAAAGAAAGGTGTGAATATCTGCCTTACTAGTGACGACCTCGTTAGCAGCCATGAAGTTAGGAACTGCAAATTTCAGTTTTTTCAATGGGAAAAAATTGGTTCAAAAATTAAAACCGGGTTTTCTTTATTTAAACTATAATTGAAGCTCAAATAATATCAGACTTTGAGCCCAAATAGAGCTCAAATTTCAGTTATTGTTACCTCTATATGGTGGTATATATATGGTTTCTTATCATTAAATAAGCATATTGTATTTCTTAAAGTTAAGGGTAATATAATCCTTACGTAAAGGCCGTTCTATCCAACTTTCAGACATTAAGATATGTTTTAGTCGTGGATAAATTCTCATAAGATATTCTTAACATGTCATAAGACACGATTAGAAAAGCATGGCCCAAGCCACCGGGTAAAACTGCTTTCTTTCCAGTTAATCACACGTACGACTAAATGTGGGTGCAGATCGTAAGGGTCGAGTATCATTGTTCGGAGTTGATTCTCATGGCGTTGCGAGGTCACAGCTGCTCACGTCTTTGGAAGGGGCTATGTCGAGTTTGGGAAGATGTTTTGGGTGGCTTAAGCTGGAATATTCGAACCGAGCACATACGGATTTTTGGTTCGATACTTGGTTGAGCCATGAGGGTCCTTGGTGCATAAACGACTTCATCAATTGGTCCCTTCACCGGCTTCTGTTGCTTGCTAGTTGCAAGCTCGGGGCAGTGGGACTGAAACCATTTAAATGGTGTGCTACCGAGATCTATCTTGAGGAAGTTCGCTGCGACCAGCCCCCTCCCCCAAGCTAATCTTGGGGACGACACTTTGGATTGGCAGTGGGATGAGAGGAGAATCTTCTCTACTAAATCAACATATCGTGCCCTTGTTGCAGCGGAGGAGAAGCCGATTTGTGGACATTAGGAGATTGATTAGAAGCTCGATGTGCCCCCAACGTGTTGAAGTGTTTCTTTGGCTGCTCTTAAGCGATAAATTGCTTACGAATACAGAGCGAATTTGTCGTCACATTAACACAAAGAGTATATGTAGTATTTGTAAGAAGGGGATGAGAATGAGCGATTCATTAAACGACCTCAATGAATAAAGAGATAATTGTTATCTCTAGAGGTCCCAAGGTGTTTAAATGTTTATTGTCAAATGATTTAGTAACATATTTACTCCTAACTTATAAAATAGCTTAGGTCAATGAATTTATATACATATTATTTATCATTCCACTTCCATCATTCGTTGAATATTCTTTTACTAATAAGAAAATAGACAAAATATAGTATAGCTTTGTATTTGTTGGATAGGCCTTGCACGTTTTCTGTTTTCTTTTATATCCAAAATTATCATAAGACAGATAACAGACAGGACAAACAAACAACCAGGGCCAGGGCCTATGTCGCTCTAAACTCTTCATTTTCACTTCTCCTGAATTGCTTGTGCCCAACATACTTTTTGGACATAAATATAACGATACGGCCACTTGAAAAGAAATACACATACCCATGTGCATGTTAAACATGCACACATATCTGATACTCACATCTTAGTCCAAGTATCATAACCAGAAGTGTACCATATATATATATTACAAATCGAACAAAATCAAAACTATCATGCTAATTTCTAATGTCTAATTTAAAAGGGTTTGATGATAATCATGCCTAAACAAGCTACTTCCTGTTCTACATCCCTCTAAATCCCCATTCAACAACATTGCAATTCTAAAGGACAGGTATACAGACAGTTCAGTTGATACATGATTCAAATCAATGAAAAACCTAGAAAGTTATCGACACCTTCGGAGCCTGTGACTTTTGTTCTCCCTGGAGAACCAATTCCAGCAGGTGGCCTTGCATGATTCATCAGCTTTACTTCTGCAGCAGGTGTCTTTGCATGATTCATCAGCTTCCGAAGCATCACTTGCAGCAGGTGGGTTGCATGATTCATCATTCATGTGCTTCCTGGAGCATCACTTCCAGCAGGCGGCTTGCGATTCAGATAACGGATAACAGCATCTTCGACCCTGTCAGAACCACCAAAAAAGAACTTGAATGTGTCAATCAAAAGATTTTAAGATAAAACTTCAAGCCTTTAACAGGATACATGCATGAATGAACTAACACATGATGACCCTCCACCAGCATGTCTATTGTTTCACATATGAGCTCTGGCAAAGAACAAAAGATCTAATGTAATAAAATTTTACGGAACGCGGCAATGAAAGGGAAGATTTGATAAATATTTTTGACAAGGCACAAGCAATAAGGTTGAAAGGTCAATCAAGTACTCAGGTTTCTACCAAATCAATCACAATTCAAGAAGCAAGATATTGTCAGTGGCAAAGGCTGCATGTCTATAAGGTGATAGGCTAGGTTGCTCTAAATGATCCATATCGCAATAAGTGTAACTGCAAGTCTGCAGAAAAAATAAAAAAAAATGGGCTTACCATTGTTTGTTAAAGAAATCTGAATGGCGCTCTTTTTCAGCACTCCGACTAGGTTCTCCAGTTACCAATTTCAGATCCCGGGTCTGAGACTGAACTAAAGCATTTATAAATTCTACTGGAGATTGACTGAATCCTAGAAAGAATGCTCGCCTTCTACAGTGGTCATGAATTTTCCTTATGGTAGCACATATTGATTCATCACAAGCATCAATCTCTTTGGTCTTTTCTCCATTTGTCAACAGAGCAGACAATTCGCTTTGTATAGGAAAGGGTATGTCCACTAACACATCATAGCATGCATTTCCAGCAGGACTATTCCCGGAAAGCTTGATTTTATGCTCCAAATGTATGGGTGGTGGTGGAGACAAATGCTGCAATATCTTCTGTGGAACCATGGTAAATTTCACTCTATCCTCCCCAAAAACTTTCTGAAGCTGTGCATCACAATTAAAACAAGACGAATCGCTTGGGTTCTGAAGTTTTCTAGCCTTCACATAATGCCAAATTGCAGCCAAAATTCTTGGGCGTGTATCAACCTCAATACCAAGGACTTCCATTAAAGCCGAAGAAAGCTTGAACTTCTCAGGAACATAATTCATTTCTAACCGTATATTCACAGTAAATTCTTTTTCCCCTTTTCTCTTCACCTCAAAACCTTCTTGTGGTGCGGGAGATCGAGCATGCTCCCATATAATGATATGATTATCCGGATATAGTCTCTGGTCCAAAGAGATAGTCACTCTTTTGAAGAATGATGAAAACTTTGGGTACTGGGGGTTCGTTTTATGAACAAACCCAGGCTGATCTGGATCTACCCCGTCTTCCAAGATCTTCCCAATAATCTTAAGGGTCCACACAGGGGGCTCTGCATTAGGCTTCTTTGGAATTGTCTGAATCTGATTAGAAAATGTGTTGAAAACATATATTCGAAGTGTTTTCTGAACACTAGGTGGGTTTTTTAGTGCCTCTTGGATGTCAACTTTTTTCCGAGCTACCGCAGCATCAACTCGTGCCTCAAACTCAAGAAGCTGGGTATACAAAGCAGATTCCGGAAGAATGGTAGCCACTCTTTCTTGTAGCTGTTTGTCAGGAATCCTCTGCTTCTTTCTTCTAGCGGCAGCCGTAAGTTCCATTGTTCTCAAAGGGGACATCGTGTTTGTCATCGGAACAGCAGGAGGATACATGGGGGGCCTTTGAAAGATCCTCTTTGCACTTGCACTGCCAGGAGTAGACATGGATGGCGAAGATGACCCTAAATTACCGATGCCAGCATTTTGAGCTTGGCTAAGGGCCAAACTTTGAGCTTGAAGTTGCGCTTGGAATTGGGCATGAACAGACTGCCCTTGAGCTCGAGCATGGGCCAGAGCTTTCGACTGAGCCAGAGCAAGGGCCTGAGCTTGTGATAACTGAAACTGAGCTTGTGATAACTGAAACTGAGCTTGAAAACCAGCACTTAGTTGTGCCTGTGCCTGTGCCTGCGAGAATGCGGGGTTTCCGGACATCGATGGAGCTACCATCCCCGCATTAGCAAACGGCGACGAAGAGGCCCCGAGGCTCTTGGAGGGATTATTGTTGTTCATAGACATCACTAATCTAATTCACTTGGGAAAAATATCAAACACCTACCAAACCTAAAGCATTCAGGGGAAAAAAAGTAAACCCCAAGCAATCTTAGCATATACCCGATAATCAAAAGCACCAAAAGAAACAAAATTTCCCTTCAAAATGGAACCTTCAAAAGTTGAACCCTAAAGGTACCAAAACCCCCAAAGCCCTGATTTTGCAGAACCCTCCAGAGACCCTGCATTCGAACCAAATCATACAACAACAAGTCGGATTCTAAACAAGCAAAAACGAGGAAACGAAGGGGGAAAACGATAGGAAGTGCAAGAAACGAAGAACTTGAATTACGAAATTAGATAAAAAGGAAGAGAGTTTAAACCAAAAGAGAGGAATTCAGATTGAAATAAAAAAAAAGTAACAATTTAAAAAAGAAGAAAAAAATTGCAATTGTCTTACGAAAGATTGAAGAGATTTGAAAGATTTGGCTTGTCTTCCAGCAAACAAAGACTATCAGCTATAGACAGAGAGAGAGAGAAAACGAAAGCCAGACTACGATATCGCTGCTTTGTTTGCTACTCTCTCCGTACCATTTACCAAATATCAAAGTCCGAACCCGATCCAAAATAACCGGGCTTCTACAATTTTAGTTTCCCAAGAAAAAAGCCCAATCATTGTGCCAAGAGCTTGATACAGAGAATGAGCTGTTTCGTTTCCAACTTATTTTAAAATTTAGTTTTTATATTTTATCTTATAAATTTATTTTTTTGGGTACTATGTTTATATAAAAATATTGATTCCTTCTTCGAATTTTGAATGCTAACAGAGTAAACTCAGAATTCATGAAACATCAAACGATATGAGGTTTTCTTCTTTACTGGGTCATGTCAAGGTGAAGAAGATTTTGAATATCATTAGGTAGGTGTTGCAGCACCTTTAGCTCTATTATTACAGTAAACTTAAGACGAGTTAGAATATCATCTACATCATTCATTTTCCAATAAATGTATCTTGTTTTGATCTGAACGATATGCGATTATCTAAATTCAAATAATAATGATAAAAAGTATCGCAAAAAATTATTGATGAAGGAATGTTTTGATCTATATGAGTGATTAACGAACCCAGAATTGAATCCCAAAAAAATAATCATATGTTGCCTCATCGATGTCTTTGAATACAACTTGATAATCCCATCCAGTAATCCAAATATAATCGACACTAAAAATTCGTCTCTCACAAGAACTAATGCTTGTGTGTCCAATGCAAAATAAGCTGTCATCGATCCTCATTCAGAGCCTTCCAAATTCAGTTTCATTGATGTTTAGTCATCACCAGTTTATTCATGAAAAAAAGGGTCCATTTTCTATTCCCGAATAAAGGGTAAATCATTTTATTTAGTCATCCAACGATTACTTTGATTCCATTTTAGTCATTCAATTTTTTTCTTTCTAAAATCATATGTAATGTTACTTTTTTGGTCATCCACCGATAAAAATAAACATAGTTGTTGATGTGATAATTTTTTATATTTTTAATGATGATGTGATATTACCTTATGATGACACGTCAACATAATCATTAATTTTTTAACTGTGAGTGATCAAAATAGAATTTTATGTATAATTTTGAAAAAACAATAATTGAGTGACTAAACTAGAACTAAAGTGATAGTTGAGTGACTAAATACTTAGACTACCCAACCAAAAAAAAAAAAGCCCCCCATTTAGCCAAGAAATCCTTAGTTGACAGTTACAAATGCAAGGAATTCCATACATAAAAAAAAAACAAAAAAAAAAAACTAGTAATCTTTTCCCCACAATTTCTGCTGTCTTTTCCTTCCTTTCTCTCTCTATATACATAACAACAACACATCCATTGATTTTTAGCCTCTCCACATCGAAACAGCCAAACCAAAACTGGCAAAGTTATGGCTCGTCCTCCCGAGTTGTTCAGTCTGGCCTCGTTAACTCTTTTACTCGCCTTGGTGGTCGAGCCTCACGGAGCATATGGCACGACCCGTGGTTCGTTTGGCCCCAACGATGGTGCTTCAGAAGTCGGTGGGATATGCGCCACCTCGGTCACCATCCATGGTTACAAATGCCAAGAACACCAAGTATATGAACTATTGATCAATTTTGATACACAGAGTTTCCTTTTTTGGTGTTATTTTTAGATTAATATTGATCGTTGTTGCAGGCGGAAACCAAAGATGGATATATCCTTAGCATGCAAAGAATCCCAGAGGGACGTAACGGTGGTGCTGGAAACACGAAGCAGCCGATACTCATACAGCACGGTGTCCTTGTGGTGAGTCATCTGTCATTTCCGAGTCGAACTCAAGCTTGAATAACTCGAATTAGCCAATAAGATAAATTCAAGTATCCCACTGTTTGACTGGAGTAATTCAGTTTTTAGTATCTATTCATAATTTTTCTTAGTAATTGACAATGCGTATATATTCTACCTACACAATTGCTTGAACTTGTGTCATCTAAAGAAAATAATATTTTATTTTACTACTGAGACTACTCAATAAATTTAACTAATTTGATCTATATAAAATTCAAAGTCGAATTTTTAAACGCCGGTTGTCTTTTGGGTGTGAACTTGACTCCATGTGAGGAAAATTTGATGACTAAAGTTTAAGTTAAAACGTTCGAGTGAGTTCATGTGCGGCGCACTCTTTTGGGGGCCCCTTTTCTAGGGGAACTTTTTTACTTTAAAGGAAAGATCTGGCTTAATTTACGCACCAAGATTACATTTTTGTGAGATAAATTTTTTAATTAAAATGAAAAATATAATAAATGCACTTTTATGCTTGAAAAATCATATTTTAAAAGATAATAGAGTAAAGGTTTAAAATGCTTTTCTAAGGGATTCAATCATGAGATAGTGCCACCTTCTTTGCATTGTTTTTGCTTTGGATGCAAGTTAAACTATGCATGGAACATGCCATGATGCATGATTATTGCTTCTTTATAATTCTAATGGAAAATTTTGAGCTTTCTGTTCATGGCCTAATCATAAATTCGAGTCAGTCAAGTAATCGATTGAACTGAAAATCGTACCATTACATAATTGAATCTATCCGATAAAAAATCGAAAACCGAAGCTTATGATCTTTGCTTGGTTTGTCAGGATGGAATGGCGTGGCTCCTGAATTCACCACAAGAGAATTTGCCAATGATTTTGGCTGATAAAGGTTTCGATGTGTGGATTGCCAACACCAGAGGGACCAGATTCTGCAGGAAACATGTTTCGCTCGATTCTAGCCAGCCGGTTTTTCTTCTTACCTTTCATGTTTTTGTAATAAAAATGTCGAAAAACATGGAAAATTGAATATGAACTTAAGAGGGTGATTTAAACTGATAGTTGAAAGTGACAGGAGTTCTGGAACTGGTCATGGGATGAACTGGTGAGTTTCGATCTACCGGCTGTTTTTGATTTCGTGTTCAACCAGACACAGCAGAAGATTCATTACATTGGTCATTCTCTGGTGAGAAACCATCTAACGAAGAAAAATGAAAAGTCGAAACAACATAGATAATCAACAGAATACCAAAACCTTAATGCAATGTGTGCATTCTGATTGACAGGGAACTCTTATAGGTCTGGCGTCTTTCTCTGAGGGCCATCAAGCGAACACACTGAAATCTGCAGCATTTCTAAGCCCGATCGCGTACTTAAGCCATATGAATACCGCACTTGGTACGGTTGCCGCTAAAGCCTTCGTCGGTGAGGTCAGTAAGGAACACTCCCTTCACCATCACTATCAATCGTTAATTCAACTTTAATATAGTATTAATCTGTTAAAAGATTTCATTGTTTATTCGGCAAACAGGTCACTACATGGTTCGGGGTAGCTGAATTCAATCCAAAAGTGTGAGAATCAAGAGCACAGAACCTGTTCTTCTTCACTGTAATAAAGAATTTAAATTTTCTCTGTTATTGACAGACAGCAAGCATCAGCCTTTCTCAAATCTTTATGCAATTACCCTGGAGTTGACTGCTATGACTTATTATCTGCAATCACCGGTACAACATCCATACTCAAAAGCTCTTTCAATTTTAATGCTTGTAATAGACTAAACAGATAACTTTCTTACGCTGTCGGTCTTTGTTATTCGAACTCGAAAGTATGTATCATATAAGCATACATAGAAATAGAATTAATAATTCTTAGAAAATTCTGAATTCGTTTTGTTATTGTAAATTCAAGGAAAAAATTGCTGTCTCAATTTTTCCACGGTTGATCTTTTCATAAAGAATGAGCCTCAATCCACAGCAACAAAAAACATGGTGCACTTAGCTCAGAGTAAGTCTATGAAACCAAACTCTTCTTCTACCATCTCATCCATGTTGTTTCAGTATGTAACACTCGGGTATTCGAACGTCTTATGTACCCAGGATTCATCGTCGTTCTCGCATATACTTGCATTAAAGGTATAGTCCTCATTGGGACTCCCATATGCCCCGGAAAAGTGCAAGTGTACGCGAGAGTAACGATAGAATCCCGATATGTAGAGCGACACGAGAAAATGTCCTGGAACATTGTTAAGTGACTAATACTAGAGGCTTCAACTAAGCGGAAATTGCAGCTGTTCGAGATGGAGTTATAGCGAAATACAACTACGGCAGGCTAGACTACAACGAGATGCATTACGGTGCGGCCAAACCTCCGGTTTACAACATCTCAAACATCCCTCGCGACCTTCCCATCTTCATCAGCTACGGCGGCCAAGACGCGCTCTCAGATATTCAAGATGTTCAGCTATTGCTCGACAGCCTCAAGTTCCATGATGTCAACAAGCTTATGACTCAGTTCATCAAAGATTATGCCCATGCTGATTTCGTCATGGGAATCAACGCAAAGGATGTTGTGTATAATCAAGTCGTAATGTTCTTTGAAAATCAGCAATGATGCCCCTCAAACAGGCCGGTCTGATCAGTTCATGTAATAGAGCCCGTAATGTTAACTTTTTATTACTATGTGTGGAAGCATTAGCATGCATAATATGAAAATTACTCTCACTAATTAATTCATAAAAAATATTATCATTTTCTTCTTCTTTCGTGTAGGGATGAAAATTTCATCCGAAGACAACGGGTTTCGATTTAATCCAATTTAGTTGGATCGGTTTTTATTCTGAAAATTCGGGTTCACATCGAGTTGATTTTTTAAGAGTGGTGCTAGGTCGAATTCAGATATAGGATAAAAAAACTCTGGTTCAATCAGACAATATTATAATTATCTCTTATATATTTAGTGATAATCGTAATAATATACATTTATTTTACTTTTTCGATTAGGTCATTATTGTACCTAATAAAATGAATTATATATATAATTACGTTGGATCGGATGCGAGTTTTTGATCTAAAAGTCAGATCAAATTTCAAGTCAAATAGAATCCTTTTAAATCCCGATTGGATCATATGCGAGTAAAGGAGTCTTGGCCATAGCGATCCTAATTCCCTGCTCTTTAAAATTCAAAGGAGCACGAACTCCAGTGACCTCGGTGGTAAAGTGTAATCACCACCTCGGTGGTAAAGTGTAATCACCATATTTTTATTACTATTATTAATATAATATAAGTATTATTTTACTATTATTACCCTCGGTGGTTAAGTTCTATTTATATATTTTTTTAAATTACTTGATTTAAAATAAAGTTACATTTTACGTTCATTCGTTTATTATTTTAATGAACGAATATGAGCAAACACGAATAAACTACATTCCTTAACGAACAAACACAAATAAGAAATTATGTTCGTTTAATTGTTTGTGTTCATTTGTTTGTTTGATTAAAGTTAAACGATCGAACATGCACATATCCTCCTTCGTGTTAGTTCGGTTTGTTTACAACCTTAATTAGAGGAAACACTAACAAATTTAAAAGATATGGTTACATATTTATGGCCATTGATAATTAGATACATCATAGATAATTATTCATCGATGTTCCTTGTAGGATTCAACAATTTAATACAAAATGAATTATTACTTCTTGCTATACGGAGATGATTATCGAATTGCGTTTGTCCTTTCTTTAAATAAAAATAACAAATTCACTACGATACCAATCCATTATTAGGTTTATTTTTGGAACAATCGTATTAGAATCAAAACGATGTAAATGGTTCATTTTGTTCAATCTAACCCTTTTTGCGTACATATTTATGGGTTAAAAATATATTAAGTTTTTGTATTTTTCGTACATTTAGAAATCAATTTTCCTAAATCTATTCCTAAGAATCTAACTTTTAACCTTTAAATATAAATAATCAAATCTAATTACTCCCTCTATTACTCGAATCATTCTCTAATAGTCTGCCGTCGATAAGCCACCTCGGGCGGGAGGGTGAGGTTGATAGTCGGGTGGGTTTGTAATTTAGGAATTAGGGTTTAGTAGATGGTTTAGGTATGATTTGGGGTTTGGGGTTTGAGTTTAAATTTAAGGGTATAATTTGGGTTTTTAGTTTATTTATTTTTATTATAATCTTATGTGGTTTTATAATATTAATAAATTATGCAACGTCAACTGAAATATTTATAAAATAATATGTCATCATAGAGTGACTAAAATAACAGTAAAATAAAAGTTGAGTGAGTAAATTAAAAAAATTTAAAAGTAAAGTGAGTGAAATGGAAGAGAGAGTAAAGTCAAGTGATGAATTTACCCTATTTTAAAATAAAAATAATAATTTTGATAATTATATAACCAAAAATAAATATTGTAATGGAAATGGATTTCATAAAAGAATTTTATCGGTGTTAACAATTAGATTTGAGCTTTTACATTCAAAACATAGAATGATTAAATTCTTAAAAGTAAAAATAGAAAAATTAAACTTTCAATGTATGAAAAAGTATAGGAACTTGGAGTATATTTTAACCTATATATTTATATATAGTTATGCCACATTTTAATTACTAAATTTTAAAGTATAGCATCATGGTCGTGGACACCTTTTTGACCAAGTGTTTTGTCTTAATTTTCTATTAGATTAACTTATAGGTTTAATTTTTTTTTTTTTGAACGCTTCCTTCTTCATTTTCTCGACTCACCGCTTATCTCTTTTCTTCCCATTTTTCTTTAGCACGTGGTAACATAAGTTTTGGTGTTAGTTGTCGCTTTCGGTATCTTTTTTATCTGGTATTTTTAGTTTTTTAAGTGTTTCTAATAACTTTGCCTTAATAGGATTTTTTCTATTTTTATAATACGTTTTTTTTATCTTTTGATAAATTTTTATTTTTTCGGTCGTTTATCCTTTTTTTAGGATTATATTTGACATAGTTACGACTGATCAAAATGACGCTAATTTATTATCATATTGATATTACATACTTTAGATCATCAATTGGATTTGGATACGTAACATGCGACTGTAGATTGTTTTCTCATTATGCTTAACTTTGGTTTGTATTTTTCCATGGTATTTCAGTAGGTTAATCACATATTTTGGTTTGTATATCATAGTAATCAGATCTATTCATATCTATTTTTTGTTCGAGTTTTTGTGGGGGTTTTACATTTTTCTTGTATAGTCCTTATATGATCTTGAGTGACTAGTTACTTGATGATTACAGTAGAATATCCCAATTATGTGTTTAGTTTACAATTTTAGTTATAAATCTTTATTGTAATTTTAAATATTTTATATATTTTACTAAAATTAGATGTTTCTACTTAAAAAACTTTAATTTAACTAGAGTGTTTCGACTCCAATTTTATTTGTAATTTTATAAAAAATTTAAATTATATATTGAAATATTTACACCATTAATATAAAATTTAAATAATTCATTTTGCTTAGTAGAAATATAAAATATTTTTTTATAAAATAACTTTTTATTGAATCAACGATCAAATTCATAAAATCTTAATTTATTTTATATTTCTATCGAAAATATTTCACGTTCTTCAATTTCAAAATCCGAAGCTAATGAATTACTTCTATCAGTATTTTTTAGGCATAATGCAAATAAATACCCATAACGTTTGACACTATATGCATTTTTGCCCAAATAGTTTTTTTGGAGCAATTGTACCCACAACGTTTAAATATGAAGCATAAGTCTCCCCCGTTGGATAAAAACCGTCAGTCAACTGACGGCGGGTCCATCTGACTAAGCATTCACATGTGGTCACCGATGATGATGTGGTGTTTCCATGTTACTATTTTATGCTGACGTGGAATTTACACGTCAGATTTTTAAATAAAATTTAAATTAAAAGTTTAAACCAGTAAGAGAATGACACATGTCACTCTCCTATTGGCGTGTATTGGATAGAAGGGATGAAAGGCTCCTAACCGCGGGGAATGGGATTCGAACATGGGTAAGGGCGTGAAATGGAATGGCCCTTGCCACCAAGTTAGGCATGTTACTTAGTAATTATATGTAACAAATTACTAATAAACCAAAAATAAATGTTCAGGTTAATAAAAAAAATGATACGTGCGTTTAGCATAAAATATATATACGCTTCAAACGGTATTTCCCCCCAAACCCAAGTATCCCCAAATACAAATCAAATCGAAACCCTAATCGCATATCCCTTTTCAATTTCGACTCCATCAAATCTCCTCTACTAGAACGAATTTTCCTTCAAGCAGCAGCCTTAAATCGATTACAGAAGCGTATATTTTGAAGGTGAGTTGATTTGTTTGAATGGAATCATAAATTATTTCCTCAATTTTGAATGGGTTTTTGATTTAGTTTTGTTAAATGTTTTGGGTATGTGCGGGTTTCGAATGGGTTTTCGATTAAGTTATCTTTCATTCAAGTTTTTATTTGGTTTAGTTCGAAATGAACATTGATTTGTGAATATCACTTGAATTAATTTAATAATTAATGTTGTTTATTTTCTATTTGGGTTGTAGTAGAAATTTTGTAATGGACAGGTTGGCATGTCCAACCATCGTTAGTGCTTCGCGACGAGATTTCGTCTACAACGGTGACCCAAATAAGTGTTATTGCAATAAATTGACAGCTAGGGAAATTTCATGGAATGATTTAAACCCAGAAGAAGGTATTACGGTTGCTCAAATTTTCTGGTAAAAATATGTTTATAATGACCTTGTATTAGTTAGCTTGAATGATAAAATGTTGTTGCATATATCGATTGATAACAAATATGTTTTTCCCCCTTATTGTAGCACGGTTGTAGGTATTTTGAATGGTATGATGGTAGCATGCCAGAGCGAGCTAATTACTTACTACGATAATTATGTGATAGTGAGCGAAATTTAACGAAAGAGAATGCAAGACTTAGAAGACAGATTAGAAGTTGTTCCTTGACTTCTACTGCTCAAAGGAATAGTGTGTTGTTGGAAGAGAGTGAAAATGTTCAAAGCAAAGTGAATGAGATTGGAAGTGTGCAAAGTGAAGACAATTACAATGAATTAAAGGCAAAGATTAAGAGCTTGAAGGAAAAATCTAAAACAATGAAGAAAGAAAAGGAATTTTATAAGACAATGTGTATTTGCTCAATGGTGTGTGTCATATGTATCTTTATGGTAATTGTACTTACAATAGCACTTTAGGTGTTTTGTTAAAGATTAAGTGTTTATGTATGTGTAATACCAAGTGTTTGACTATTACTTATTGAGAATAAATGACTATGTCTAATATTAAGTTCTTAGTGTTTTCTATTATCTTGGCTAGTTAATATGCTTAAACCGAATAAACAGAAAATAATCGAAAAGAAATGTTATTGATTCTTGAGTTAGGCATATAATTGCCATACACAAAAAAAACATATATTTATGCTACATGGTATATCATATGAAGTTAGACAGATATTTTCCATACACAAAAAGAAGTACAACCTAAAACATATACCCTAACAAAAAGCAACACAACCAAAAGTATAACCCCTCAGACCGATACGGATAGCCCGATCCGATCTGGAGTGTCACATTAGGGCCACCGGAGCGACCCACTGTAAAAATAGTGGAAAATTTAAAACT